GTTCAACCTCTTGAATTAAACCTGAAAGTCTACACTTCAATTGCATCTCAGTTGTTTCTTTTAAAAATCCAATGTGGTGGCATGCAGAGCCCAAATCATGAAGATTGTGTCACTGTCCAAATATTTCTGGGCCTAACTGTATGTAGCCACATATTTGTGCATGAGATAAAACTTGCCGAAACATTTTTTTTTCACCACAGGATGAAATAACAGTGATTTTTGAAAACTCCACTCATTCATTTTTCCAATAGAGAACACCATATTGGACAAGGAACCCTAATTTGGGCATGTGGTCTACTACAAAATGAAACACAACTTCAGATATCTATTTGTTCCACAAATAATCAAGTTAGTTATCCATACAGTTTGCTACTGTTACTGATGTAAAAAAGGTACAAATAAATAAACAAATAAAGCGCAATAAACTTTAAGTTAAGAATATGGTGACAGAGCTTTGTGCTATTTATCATCACCACTCTCCAGTTTCAGTTTCCCAAATGCTTTAGCTGACCAAGTTAATGTTATTCTTTCTAATAAACGTTCAGCTCTGTCTCCTCATTATTTACCAACATCGCTGTAATATTTTATCTGGCAAGTTTTCATTAACATTAACTCATAGAGGTAATAAGAGGGGGTGGTGGAGATCGTGTCTGAAGTGTCTGAGATTTTTAAAACGCTGTTAGAAAAAACTCATAAGCCAAAACACTGTTTACAGTGTAGATAAATGTAACATCATTATGCTAGTTATAGTGAACTATGCTGACTCTCACTGCATAAAACTATAGAAACAGACAGTTAAAACAGAAGTTCAGACACCTCTGGGGTTGTCTTAAAGTTACTGTCTTAAAGGACAGTATTTAGGAGATTTAGTCTAGTTCGTGACTAAACAGATTTCAGATTTAAGACGTTTCTGTAATACAGCACCTGGTCTTGCATTGCTGGAAATAACTGCCCGGCAGCATCACAAAGCTGAACAGACTTTCCTATAAGGGCATTGACAGGACTCAGTCCTACAGAAAATAATACAGTCAGAGAAGTTTTTCTTTTGAGTCATATCGTGCTCTAGCTAAACTTGGAAAGAGTGAATGCTATATTTGAGTTAAATTAGATATAGTTTGCTGCTCAGTGGATGAGAGAGAGCAACCATTTGATGCCACAACAAAAAGGGCAACCTTCTAGAGGGATTTTGTCTATTTTTACAAAACACAAAGGATTTTTCTTGGTTTATACACACCATATGTACATGTATTCCATATAGACTTACGTGTCTTAACAGTGGGTTCCCTTTAAACTACCGGTCATGCAGTAGATAATAGGATATTTTCTATTGTCTAGTAAGTTGTCATCATAGCTCGTGCTAAACATCCTTCAACTTAATCTCAGTCGCAACGGCAGCAATCTAAACTTCGTGAAACAAGTTTCATTACACAGCCAATCAAAACGCCCATAACGTACCATGTGATCGTGTCGAACAACATCGTTTCAAAAAACGATTGTTTTCACTGGATCAATAGACCGGAAAATAAAACAGAAGATGGTTTATTAGATGGCTGAAAATTAGATCTTCTTGACCGACTTCATGTGAGGTTGGTAGTTTTTCATTTTGTCAGCTATTTTTCTCAGTTACCTGAACTATGACAACAAAGTGAGTTTATAGTTTGCTAGGCTATACATTCTTTCCTCTCTTGTTTGGTTTGAAATCCAAAGGATGAAAATTATTACAGAAGATGAGACCGGGATGTTGTCCACAGTGAACCTTTATGCTAGCGCTTCTAGGCCAGGATGAGTGAGACATCTGCATAAGTACAACTGTAAGGCTGCTTAAATGTTCATTTTCAAAGGCTTAACATACACAGATGATAGATTTTAAAAAGAAAATAGATTTTAAAAAGGCAAATATACAATAAAGAATGCACCAAAAACACTATATTTCTAATGGGAGGTACTAAATCAAGGCATGTCACCTGTTAAACTATTAGGATCCTTAACATTGTAATATCAACCCATTAAAAAGCCAAAACGTATTATTGGTATTCTGCTCATACAGGCCTCACAGCCTGAGCCAAGCAACTACTGCAGCCCACCTAGGGTCCCTTTAATTCCCATTTTTGGGATTATATGATGTTTTTACGTTACCAGAATAGCACATAATGTTACTCAGCCAGCTAAAGTAGTTTTATCAGGCGCAACAAATCTGATCACCTTAATGTTCACAGCGTGCGCTGGCTTTTCATTTCTTTGACGGAGCTCCGCCTACAGGACGCTCAGTGAATTACACAGAACAGGAGACCACTATTATCTGTGCTTACCTGCGACACGATCACCAGTTTGTTCAGTTAAACTTGGACAGTTTGTTTTAAGCTCTTCACTTTTTACTTTTTTCCCCTCCCGTCTTTCTTTTTTCTGTAGCTTAGTGAGCGTGGTGGGTTTTTTTCTGTTTTTATTCTTCCATTTATCTCAACTTCTGTTTGTTAAGCTCTTCTGCCACCCAGTGGTTCGTTATTTAGTGAAAAGCGCAAACGGTCGACTTTTACACGTGGAATACAGAAAAAAACACTTGCTAAGGAAAAGGAACGAAGGCTTGTGAGTAAATGTGCCGGAGGACGACCTCAGGATATGCCTTAGTTCACCTACCTGTATGTGTTGGATTGATTGTAGGCATTTTCATTGTCGACAGATGGTAGACTGTGTGAAACAAGCGATTTGGAACAGTCAGGTTCACAGTAAAACAATAAATGTTGAGCATTAAAGTTGCAGTATTGCATTGCACGACACAACAAAGTGTCAAAATGAGTAACCAACCTCCTGCCGAAACCCGGGATCGAACCAGGGACCTTTAGATCTTCAGTCTAACGCTCTCCCAACTGAGCTATTTCGGCTTGCATATTAGTGCATCCAACACCTCTGATATAGAGACATGTGTCCGGTGGTATTTCCGCATTATTCTATGTTTTTTAGATTCTTTTTCCTTGTAGCGTTAAATAGCAAAGAAAGAATATCTAAATATGTCTAAATTATCCGTCAGTAACGGGAGAGTAACGTTTCTCCTTTGGACCACAAGATGGCGATATAATCTAACATGAAATCGTATCCTCAGACTATTTTACTGCAATAAAGTAATGTACAGATAGGTTAAAGGGACTTTTCTTGACAAAATGAGCAAGACTGGCATCTCATTCCGCGTTATGAGTAAGGTACTACATTTTTTAGATTTATTTGTTCAACTTTACCCTCTCCTCTCCATTTATCGTTTTGCCTTACTGGCTGTTGGTTCAACATTTTATGAGGACTTCTCATCTCATTACTTTAATGGGCTGGTTGATGGGACAAAAATCAAGTGTGACTGGATATATGGGAAGGCCCTTTATAGGCCTCTCATGCTATAATGTTGGCCTGCAGGATGCAGCAGAATCCGTGGAGTTCAGTATAACTCAGTGCCACAATCCAGTAGGAGTACATTGGAACTATGACTTGATTCAACAATGGTGCTTTTACATTATGCCCCTGAGATATGTGTGGGCATACAGGCCTCTGCCATTACTGGAGCTTTGTGTGTGTGTGTGTGTGTGTGTGTGTGTGTGTGTTTCCTAAGTTTTATATCTCCCTGGAGCTACAGCCTACACACTGCTCTCATGTACTGTAAACATAGGATATGGATCCCACAACGGCAAACTTACAGATGCTCAAGGTAAGTGAGGATAATGCATTTTCTCTGCTTGTGGACTTTGATGTGGAGTTTGATGCTTACTTGATTGAAATGTGTTATCCCACCAAACCTTTTGGATCATTATGAATAATTTCCCAACTAAATTGAAACTGTCCAATTTATTGATAGAGACATACTAAACATGAAACAGCACAGCGACAGTATTATACAATAATTACAACAGTATAGAACATGCAGTGCATGGTCAAAGCATATGTGTCCGACCCAACACAAACAGTGTTGTAAAAAGAGAAACTTGAGATACTTAACAAGGGAAATATCCCCCTTCCCCCTCTGGCGAGCTCATCTACATATGGACCCCAGAGGAATAGGCTTATGTGTGATCAGAGTGGGGAAGGGTGCAGAGGGATTTTTTTTACTCATTTCAGAGCTGTTCAGGTGTTTTAGTACAATGCTTGAGGAACTAGATGACTAATTATCCTTATAATCTCAACAAGAGCAAAGTATCTTTATATAGTTTTATGTATTAATATCTTATATACATAGAACATCACATTAAAACAAGGTTAGGATTTATTGACAGGATATTTATCCATTGGTGATACTGACTGAGAGTCTAGTCAATATGCTCTGGCCATGTGAAGTGTTTAGGATTTTTTAAATGCCTCAAGCTCCTGCTCATTTGTGGACCTGCCTCAGTCTGATGTGGACACCGTAACCACTGTACCGCCATCAGAGACTCAGCACATACTACACAGTTTCTGTAAAACATTTATGCAAAGTATGTACATTGATTAGCATCTACTATACACTTGAACCTGAATCTATGTTAATGCACCACTCTCATACTCGCTCGCTTGCTCTCTTTTGAGTATGTACACCCACACTCAGTGATGCACACTGGTTGAAACTGGTTCTACACACTAACGTGTCGATGAGAAGCTAAGAAGCCAGCATAGACCAAAAAATGCTCGTCAGACACCTTCACATTGAGGCCTCGCTAATTCATAAACGACCAAAAGATAAATAAACAAAGCAATGCGTCATACCCAATGTATGGGTTCTATTAAAATCTAACTTCCAGACACTTTCCTTACAGAACTAAACAGCGACAGATGATGCAACACATTAGAAACACTTCCATTCAGTAAAAACACAAAAATCACATTCAACACCATGGTAACCCTTGTGAGGAGACTTAAGGCATGGTCCTGGTTGTAAAGAACTAGAGGCTTTGTAACAGATAAATGTTAGCGTGTGCATTTGCCCTTGTTGCAGAGGATGCTTTCACATGCATCTAGATGATGCATTTATATAATTACTGTGTTCATTTACTTCACTGTAGGCTGTTATAGGATGTGAGCGCCTTGGTAAGAGCTCTTAAAGAGTAAGTTTACCATTATGTAAACAAAATCTAGTAGTATGTCTGTACACTGTGCTGCTGGGCTATTGAGCATTTAATGTCCGTGTCTAACTCAGTGTGTTCAAATGTGTAGGTGTATGAGGAGGAGGCCAGGGGCGAATCTAACGGTGCACTTGAGCTTTTGCATCAGCCTTCTCCTCATGATCCATAGTTTGCTGGTGGTAGTAAAATTTCCTAAACAGCTGTTGCTAAGGAGGCCCAGAGGTGGCTTCTGTGTCTTATCTCTAACAAGAGTGCTAGTTAACAAACAAATGAGCTGCTTAATTGGCACACCTGTGCCATTCCCCCTTTGACTTCAAGTTGCAGTATTGCAGATTAGCTTATTACTGACTGTCTTACATTTCTTTAAATTATGCACACTATGCACATTATACACAATACAGTCATCTTGTATTGTACAATTACATTAAGTATATAACATAGGTACAGAAAATAAATAGGTCCTGGCTTGCCAAAAAATGTAGGCCTCTACTACAAATGAAACAACTGTAAAATAGACTTGCTTATAATACACCCTCTTTTCTTTATCATTTCCACAAATAAAATAATGTACATTAAAGTTAAATGGCAAATGAACAATCGTCATCAATTGTCGATCAGCAAATAACTATCTGAGCATACAAAGTTAACATAATTTTTATTCCACTGACCATTACTCATACAGTGAGTCCACTGGCTAGGTTCATCCTAGTTCATCCTCACGTCTTTCTTAACTGTGTGGCTTTTGAGTTGGAGAGCACATTTCAAACTCTGTATGATAGAGCTGCCACACCGTTTCTTTCCCAAGAGGGCTGACTCAGTGGATACATAGATAAACCAAAGGGCTTGTTCTTTCATTTCATAGTGGTTCTGTTAGACACCGATCCGTGGCATCACTTCCCTCTAAACGAAGCTTACGACCCTGTCGTGGCTCTACCCAGGAGTTGTGGATGACAGTTCCACCTGGAGAAGGGTCCACTTGCAGCAGGGACACTACTCGTTTTTTCACCTTGGCCCTGAGTGCCCGACGGAGCTTCTGCCGCGTGAAGGCGTAAAGTAGGGGATGCGATATGGTGGTGCCATATGCCATGGCCAAGAACCAAAGCCTTGCCCGAACCAGACCGTCACTGGGGCCAAATGCGAGGATGAGGATATTTGCCACAGAAATAGGGGCCCAACACCCCAAGAAACTGCAGATAATTATGAGGGACATCCTGAAGACCCGGCGCTGGCGCTCCCGCCGGTCTCTGTGTCGCCTCACAGCTCGGCGGAGAGCAATGATGGCCGAAACCGAGGCTTGAACTCCTACTGCTGGAGCCGGTGCTGTGGCAGTGCTGGCACTGACCAGCGGGGTGGAGGACATGGGTGGAGGTGAGGTGGCTGTTGGTGTTGGAGTTGGAGAGGAGATGAGTGGTGGATGCGTAAGGTTCTTGGTCTGGTTCGGTGCTTGCACTCCTCCTTCAACATCTGCAGAGCTCCCCTTTTTCTTCCGTTTCCTGCGGCGCCCTCTACAGGTGGGTCCACTCCTTCGCTGGCTCCTCCTCATGTGCGAACCAATGCGAATGTTCAGTGCACGAAGGATTCTTGAGTAGGTGAAAAGCATGACCACCAGTGTGGCAAAGAAGATGGGTACCTGTAGAAGAATATGGTAGTACATCCCAAGGCCCATGTGGTAACCCTGTCCTCCCACACACAGCAGTGTCCGGTTACGCCAAGCTGGGTTCAAGGAGTTGTCAGCCAGCCCATTGTCTGGCTCTGATGAGAAGAAGTCCACCTCAATGAAGGGGATGAAGAAGACAGCAAGAGACACAGCCCATACGGCAGCCAACAGAAGTGCTGCCCATCGAGGAGTAAGGAACCGGTTAGCAGGTCGCACTGAGATGTCATAGCGGTCCAGGCTAATGACTAGAACATTAATGGCCGTAGAGATGCTGGTGAACGTGACACAGGCTTCATGGAAGCAGCAGATGAGCGCCAGGTTGCGACCTGTCGGCAGCAGCACTATGACTACGGTTAGCGGCAGACACAACACACACACAACGATGTCCAGAACGTGCAAGTTAACCGTGACCATGTTGCTGACTGAATCGACCAGGTTGGACTGGGAGCAGTAAAGCACAAGCACAGTCAAGTTACTGCTGAAGCCCAAAACCAGCTCCAATAAGAGGAAACTGGTAAGTGACACCTGGAAGCTGACTGGATAAGGCATGTACCACCCTGTAGCAGCACTTGCTCCCATTTGCCCCTCCAGGCCGGTGATGCTGGCCAGCGTCCCAGCCCCATCACTGGTCTCCAGCTGCTGGGTATAACTTTCCGTCCCCATGACAATTTTGTGTGGGTGCTGACCTCACGCACTTTGACAGTTCCTGTCGCCCCTTAGGCAAGACCATGGCCACTGGTCAGCAGCATGATGGGATCTCATGCCCTCAGCACCATACAGTCAAAAACAGGGGGTTTGACTGAGGCAGTCCTAGAGGGAGAAAACACATTGAGATTTAGTGAAAAAGACAGATAAAACATAACATATTCAAATGCAGATAACAAGAAGCTAAGCAGAGTTAACCATGATCATGAACAGTTCTCTTAGCTGGGAAATGGAAAGACATCAGAAGGGAAAAAACCCTAATCGATGTAATTCCTAGTCTTTGGACTAAGAAGTATGATTAGCAGTTTTTCTCCCTTTCTCTGTAAAGAATGACTGCTGGTGTGTCAGGATGTAATTTTCACACTAACAATCTATTCTCTCTGGGTTTTGTGCTGATGTTTGTACATGTATAGCCTTACAATACAGCCATGCCATCACCAGACTTGCTGCCTCTCAGTGTTAAATCACTGTATTCGTGTGTAATCAGCATGTAATGGCAAAAGTAGCCATAGATATTTTTCTGTGAAAAGCATGTCTTCCTTCTTTACCACGGTGCTGTACTCGCACTTTCCTTCATTACTCCCTGCCAGTCTTCAGCAAATACATGGCACCCTGCCATCAAACCTGCCACACACCTATAGCATATTGAGCAGCAGATGTTGCAGTCTATGGAGAAAATATGCCGCCGCAGAACCTGCCACGCAAGATCAGCATCATTACTGTCTGTCCTACCAAAAGCTCACTGGCTATAGTCATGATTGCAATGCAAATTCCAACTCACCTAGGGCCTGTCCAGCCACATCATGAATTTCTGTGAAAAATGCCAGAAAAAAACATTGATTCAATTCATGCAACCATGTAAAAATTGAAAGATGCGTAATTAAAAAAAAAAAAAGTTTACTCCACCAGACTCTACATTTGATTATAAATCAATTTAATTCATGCAACAATGCAAAATGTCAGAGCTTTTTTTTTAAGGTTCTAAATTGCATCGTAAATATCTTTACTTAAGTTTAACTGCTTACAGAATGAGCTGAGATGTCAAATGCAACACTACAACACTAAAAATAATATTTTACTTTAAATCAACTTGTTTCTTGTTAATAAATTTCCACAGTTGCTTAATTTATTGGATGATGTACCTTTCTATGTCAGATTATGCAGTATTTCATCTAAAAATATTTGAAATGTAATTTTGCTGTCAGTTTTCAAAATACATTTAGCAATTCCAACATGGATATTACATTACATTACAGTAGCATTCCTACATTTTGGTTAAACCTGTAAATGATTCATTTTTACATTAAATATTTGACACATGGTACATGGTGTTTAAAATGGCTTCTCAACTAAAATCCATTTTATACATCTTTTTGGTCCTACATTTTCTCAAAGGGACTAATCTTACCTCATTTTCCTGAATAAGAACATATCAGATTAACATATACAAAATAAGAGATGTGCTATGGCTCCTTATTGGGGTTTTTAAACATGGCATGTTTGACTAAGAATCAGAATAAAACACACTAGAATTGTAAACAGAAAACACTGGATTTCATATCCAGTCTTGCTGGCCATCAAAATGATTTTTGTGCATTCCAGCTGCTGGAAATAACTTGAAAGTTCCAATAATATAAAAACTAATACTTTTAATTCACACAGTTTGAGAATGTCAGTGACACCAGTAAGTGGACCCTGGAAATTCAGGTGAAGTCAGCTTGAGACGGTGTATCCTAAGGAACAGCACTGCCTTTCAGTTTGATGAGAAATGGTGGCAAGGACTGATTCTGAAAAGAGCAGATGATGATGGTGATGGCAGTGCAATTTCTTACATCTTCATGGCTGGGAAATGTGTTTTGATGGCCAGCTAGACAGGATATTTGTTGCAAGAGAATCTTCCTGAATTCTCCAACAACAAGAAATACAAGAGTATATCACCTGAAAACAGAGTACAAGCTTTCTGGAATATTCTGGAAATTCAGTGTTTTCTTAGTCAGATACATAATGTCCAAAATATGAAACCATAGAGACCCAGCACATCTATATTTTCATATGTTCATCAGGCATAACTGTCCTTATTCAGGAGAAAGTTTGAAGGAGAAAGAAATAATATCCCTTTTGAGAAAATGTAGGGTCAAAAAGACATATAAAACAGCTTCATGTATCTTCATGTAGCTTCATGTATTGCATGCAGAAATTAACAATTTATAGGTTCAATAGCCATGTATGAATACTACATAAAACCTAAAAAACATAGTTTGTAATAGATGATGAAGATGAATTATTCCACACAAAACTACTTAAAACTATGTTCTCTAATAAATGACACCCTTGTGGGAGTTCATTAACATGAAACCAGTTGATATAAAATGAAATATTATTTGTAGTGTTATATTTATACTCAGTATTTCAGTTCAGTTCAGTCATTTTATAAGCAGTTAAACTCAATACTTTAAGATGCAGTTTAGAACCTGATGGAGCAAATCTCAAAAATGTATAACAAAAATGACACATCTTTGAAATTTTGCATAGCTGCATGAATTAAAAAGTTTGGCTTGATTTTTTTTCATGGAAATCCTGTACGTGACCAGACAGGCCCTGGGTGAGCTGGCATGGAGGGACTCGTTTGTTACGTCTTCTGGACGTGGGAGCATTTTGTCGCTGTCAAAACAAAACCTTGTATGTCAGTTTTTTTCTGTTTTTTTTTCACTTTTTACATCCTTTACATGCCAATTGCTCCTTACACTCTGTGAACATTTCAGGATGAATGGACCAATAGGAATGGTTCAAAAAACATTACATTAAGTTAAGAACATTTTTTCTTTTTCTTGAAAAGTTACCATAGATTATGTATCACACATCCAAACAGGTGGACACGACACTAATATAAAAATAAATGCAATTTATAATCTAATGATTCATTAGCAGAAGTGCTTGGATAGTCATAGGTTTTATTATTTTGGCTCTGTATTCCAAAACTGCAAATAGTATTGAAAGTTAAAGAATATCGGCTTTCACTTTAAAGTGCTTTCACAGCCCCTATATGTATTTTATAGTTGGATACCTTTTAGTGCGTGTGTGACACGATTATGGCTACAAATCCAACCAAAATATACTGAGCAGTCAAATATGAAGCACCACTTAGCACCATTAGGGAGTGGCACTCTCAGCAGGTTCTGAATTGATTATGGCATTAATTCTTATGTTGAAGAAGCAACATTTATATATCCTTTTACATCATCTAATTTAAGTATTGCTTTGCTAGCTTGGCACTCAGGCTAGTTAACAGTAAGTATGAGCTATGGCTGAATAAAGCTAAGTAGCTTGCAGAACATAAGTATAATTGAAGAATATAGTAATAAGAATTGTCTTTACTGTTGCTTTATTTTATTCACAAATACTACTCGAAAATACCCAAGTCTTTATGATAAATAGGAAGTGGTGGGTAAATGTGTCAGAGTAGAATGTGCCCAAGGAGCGGGTGAAAAAAAGTAAGAGCCTTGAATAGAGCTCTACAGTTGGCTTGATCCTTACTGCTGTTTTATGATAGCCGGCACAATCACTGTAACATAATAACTTGCCCCAACACCAGACCAAGATTTTGTATATATATATTACATGCATGCACCAAACAAACATTTTGTGAGACTGACAGTCCACTATTCACTCCTATTATTGTTGCCATAGCAACAGGGCTAGGGGCGATTTTAATGGGAGGCCAGATGCGGCTGATTGTTATATGTGTTACGCTTTTATTGTGGGTATTATATATATATATTTAAAAAGTCATGTTTAACTGTGTTCCCCTCAGGACAGGGATAAATAAAGAATCTGTAGATATGCTGAATTGGTCTTTCTTCAGATAGCTACACCAGGACAGAGCAAGAGAGTCAGACATAATACAGGAGGCAGCAGAGCACGAATGGACAGAGTACGGAGGAGTTGTATATGGAGAAGAGCAGTGAGTAAAAACGGCTTACTGAGTGTTACAGTCTCTTTCTTTCTTTTTCTCTCGGCCCCCCTCTCCCTCTCTCTATCCTATTTCCCCCCATCCACCCCCCCACCTCTACCTCGGCCTGTAGTGGAGATTTCCAGCTGGCTTGGAGCGTGTGCAGACTGCCTGATGTTTGCTGTGTCAGAGACGAGGACACACAGAAACAATAACTGACAATCAAAAGGGCTCAGCGTTTGGTTTTCTGCCTCTTCTTTTATTGCAGCCCCTGACAAAGCACAAATTCGATGTGTCCAGGTTTGACATGCGTTATTGACACTGTCCTGAGGTGATGTCCGAAATTGAATTAGTAATTCCAGCAAAGTCAGGACACAGTGAGAGAAAGCAGGAGAAATGGAGTGAGTGAGAGAGAGGGAGAGAAGGGGGTGATGGGACGGCAATCTCATTTCACAGGTAAACATGCCACTCCAGGGGAGAGGGGGGAACGCAGCAGTGGTTTTCTCACACAGAAGAGAAAGCTCCCAGAGGCCACCCATTTGCACCGTGCTCTTCTGATAAAGCGGCCTTATCGTTAGGTCCAATGGGGAAGACAAACTCATAATCAAGCTGTCCAACATGCTACTCTATAAGAAAGATTTTTGACAGTTCCTGTGCACAAGATTGGCTGGGGAAAGGGCCTTTGGAAATAGAGAAGATTAGCATGGATGTTGGACAAATTATAATGTAGAAGCCATGAGCTCTGCAGTGCAGGCTTGTGTGTTTGCACAAGTGAGGATTTATTAAGGAAAGGGAAGAGTCTTAGAGAGCCGGAGTTACCCAGGTGCTTTCTGACCCCTGGCAACACAGGATTGTTCACAGAACCTTGGCTGAATCATGTACCTTGTACAAAATAATCAAAGGTTTCAGCTCCTTACATGCATACCAGAAAATTCTGCTTACACTTTTCCCAGTTAGTGGCTCGTCTCAAGCTTTGTTTCCTACCCAACTGGTAATTGATCCAAGCGCAAATCCTCTGGGGTTTTATTCAGCACTGTCCTTGAAGATCAGAGGTTAGACAAAAAACAGGCATTGATTTTCTTATTGTCTTAAAGATCTGGAGGAAGTATCTGTGTCTGGGAGACAATCCAATGTAACCTGCATTTGATACCCCAGCGAGTCAAAGGCCAAGCACTGACCTTAGGGATAGCTCACCCAAAATGAGATGAAAAGCTGTGTTGAGTTGATGGCTGGGAGTAAATAGAGAACTACTTTAGAATTATTTGTAAAACATGACAAGATCCTTCCTTCAAATACTCAGTTTTTTTGGTGTTTTAACTCAAGGCATCAACAAAAAAATTATAGTTTTGCTTTTCGTGAAATAGTGCATGCTAGAATACACCAGCAGAGCAGGTGCAGTATTTTGATTTATTCAACTAACTAAACACTGTGTTGCATAGTTTATTTTCCAAATATAGCCCAGTATCCCTGTATTTATTGATATTTACATTTGCATTAATACAGTTAATGAACTGCATTGGTACTTGGTACTCCATGTTAGGCTGTCTTACAAACCTGACATGGCCTGCTTTGATTAGACTATTTTGGTCTGTTCTGCTTCTCTCGAAATTACACCAAATAGAATCTTATAAAGTACTGTAGGTTTTCCATAAAGGAAACTTACTACTTATTCTGTTTTATGCATTTTAAAGTGTTATTTCTAAACCACTGAGCAACACTCAGTACTGTGTAAAAGTCAGTGATCACCCTACATTAATTTCCATTTAAAACAGCCTTTATCTTTTTCATTTTCAGGAGATATTTCTGAGGAGATTAGGTGTAAGGTAATCTACTTGCATAAGGTAGGAGACAGTCAAAGGAAA